GAGGTCTATGAAGACTCTGTACAATTAAATATTAACCTAAAAAACATCTAGAGTTTGAACAATTTAGGGTTATTTCACTCAAAACGACGTTGTTTTGAGTGAATAACTAATTTTTTTTTAAAAAAAAACAATAGCCAATCGGCCGACTAGGCGGTCTAGTATATACCTACGAGGCCTAGGCGGTGTGTGCAATAGGATAGTATGTTATATTTGGTTGAATAGTATGCAGTAAATAAATGCGGTAAGTGGAGAGAGAGAGAGAGAGAGAGAGAGAGAGAGAGAGAGAGAGAGAGAGAGAGAGAGGGAGAGAGAGAGAGAGAGAGTTTTTATAGTGGTTCGACTGTTATTTTAATTTTATATTTATTGAAATACATGAATATATGTTAAGGTTATTAAAGTTATATAAATAAATAAATAAATAGATAAATATGTGTGTGGTGGGGGGGGGGGGGGGGGGGGGGGGGGTGTTATTCCATTGAGAACCAGCCTCTCCATGAGTTCATGAGAACCAATATTGTGCACTAAAAAAACATATCTAAGGATGAGATTAATTGAGGAAATAGAAATGTGTGTGTGCGTATAGAGCATTATGTTGTGTGCACATTAAGCATGTGTTGTGTACACCATAAGAACTTGCTTAATATGCACACAATATAATGCTTTATATGCACGTATGCGTTTTTAATTAACCCAATTCATCACATTTATAGATCTTTTTTTTTTAATACTGATAATACTAATTCGGGTGTCGGTTGTATGTACTGCATATAATATGTAGGTGTATGAACCAAGAAGAAGCAATATATAGAACAAAGGGGCTTCTTTATTAATAATTGTTCTCGGGAGTTTTTTTGGTAGAGGGAAGGGAGAGTAATGTATGTAGAGAGAGAGTGCGAGAATGAAAATGATCCAAAAAATCCTTATTTTGAAGGGCCAAATGCCCTTTTATAAGGGCAAGGAGATGGCGGGTTTGACCCGCCACCTTTGACCTCGACCCGTAGATCGGGACCGAACCGCTTGACCCCAACCCGACTATAAGAGGGAACACGGACCCAGGGTATATAACCTATCAAAAGTCCCCCCAGCCCGTGCCTTGACGACGAGTTAGCGAGGAAGGGTTCGGGCTGGAAAAACTTGTTACATGGTCCGTGACTTGTGCCGATTGCCTCGTTAAAAACCTTAGGCTAACAAAAAATCCAGTGGGAAAAAAAATTCAGCCAAGGGAAAAGAGTACAACGCTAAACACAGTCTGGCGGACTAAAAAAGGTTGCCCGACCTAGGGCTACGAGTTGCAACGCGATTCGAAAAGGGTCGAACTCTGCCGGTCCAACGACTGGACTGACGAACGTGACCGGGAGGTCGATTTCATTGCGATCTGGAGATCTATCTTACCAATTACGGGATTGGATTTGCTTATGATTTAACGGATCGAACTCTTGCGTGGCAAAAGAAATCAAATTGCACCGTTTCTTAGGGATTGTCTTGTAGCAATCGGGAGATTGGATTTGCAAGGAAAGCTACTAACTACTCGATCGCGTGGATTGCAAGCAAGAGCGCTTTTCCTGCCTTACTCGGGTTGACCGGTTGTGATGAGTTTGAGCTCGGTCAAACTTTGATCTAAATCACTCGACTAAGAAGATCGCTCTTAACCGATTTGCGTTTGGCTGGTTTTGATTATTACACTAATCACTTTGATTTGCTTTTGAGAAATACGAGTTACTTGGTCGGGAGCTTTCCCCCTTTTCGAACTCGGTTTACGAATTGAAAGTCCCGAGCGGAGGGACGCTAAGAGACCTGATGGTCTAACGATAGCGAGACACGTTTCAAAAATGACAATCAACTGAATGGGGGAGTGTGCTCCTTTTTACGCTCGGTTTATGAACCGAGAGCCCCCAAGTGAAGGGGTCTCTACGAGACCCAAAGGTCTAACGATAACGATACCACAGAGGTCATTTTTTATCGAGAAGTGACGACAAGACCGGGGAAGTCGGTCAACTGCAAGAAGCGCTTTGGTAAACGAGCTAAGTCGATCTACTCGGGAAGTGCTTTTGGTGAAACGAACGTGATTCGACCGACGAGCGAGCTAAGCGCTTTGGAGAAACGAACGCGATTCGACCGACGAGCGAGCTAGGCGCTTTGGTGAAACGAACGCGATTCGACCGATGAACGACTCGGTCTACTCGGGAAGCGCTTTAGCGAAACGAATGTGATTTGACCGACGAGCGAGCTAAGCGCTTTGGTGAAACAAACGCGACTCGACCAATCCACTTTGGAAAACCTTAGCGAAGCGAACGAGCTACTCTACCGATGCAGCCCCCCACTCCCTTAGGTGCGACAATCGTCACCATAAAGGAGTAGATACGATGGGTTCTTGAGTTCGGATTGCTAACTTTGATTGCGATCGGGAAATGACCCAACCGGGTTCGCGGTGCGAACACACCGAATTACACTCGCAGCGTCGATGACCGGGAAGTGACTCAACCGAGCTCACAGTGTCGGTGTACCCCCGGTCGACTTGCCTAATTTGTAAGACTTTGGAACTTCACGAAGTTTAAACTGACCGATCCACTGATCGGACCTCTAACAGGGTATAAGGTTTACGCGCTACTGATCAAGTGATCGGGTTTTTAACGAGATCGGGTGATCAATCTCTAACTCCGAACGAGGTGCCCGACCTAGTGGGACCAACTGCCTACCTCGTAGGTTTTAAAGCCGAGATATGATCTCGGTGCTAACTAAACCGGTGGTGGCAATGCTGACCTAACCAGACTTAGAGCGCCGACGATGGCAATGATGCCGATCGGACCGGACTTAGAGCGCCAGTGGCAGCGAGGCCAACCTAACTGATCTTTAAAAATGCCGGTGGTGGCAAGGCCAACCTAACCGGTCAGAAAATGGCTAGCTTGTAGGGCTTGAAGCCGAGATACGATCTCGGTGCTAACCAAGCCGGTGGTGGCAATGCCAACCTAACCGGACTTAGAAACATAATTGGAGCCGAAGCTAAAGGAACCTCGCCTGTTTCGATCTTGGTGCAATAAAAGTTTAAGCGACATTATGGTCTTCGAGCTTGCGCGCTTATCGACGGTGACCGGAAAAAATTGAAAAATTTTAACGACATTGCGGTCGTCGGGCTTGCACCCTCATCGGCTTTACCGGACAAGTTTAAGAGACATTGTGGTCTTCGGGCTTGCACCCTCATCGGTGGTGACCAAAAAAAACTGAAAAAGTTTAACGACATTGCGGTCGTTGGGCTTACGCCCTCATCAGCTTTACTGGACAATTTTAAGCGACATTGTGGTAGTCGGGTTGTCGCCCTCATCGATGGTGACCGGAAAAAACTGAAAAAGTTTAACGACATTGCAGTCGTAATTCGGAGGTGGTGTGACCGATCTGTCCGAGCTTAGGGTGCCGGTGGTTGGAATACCGACCTAACCGGACTTATTACAGTTTAATTCTATTACAATTTTCCTAGGTACAAGTTACTAAGGAGATAAACCTATACAAACTATTAGGCCTATGTAGTAGCTGTAATTTAGATTTCTAAGGCCCATTATAATTTATTGGCACAAACAACTAATACCATTTGCAATATAAAGGTTGCACTTATGGCCCACTCTAATTTGCAACTTCAGAATTTAAACAACGACCCCACGCCTGAACAAAACTTGCCATGCGAAGTGCTCGGGAGATTCCTGATCGTTATATTAGAGTTGCCTCATCCCATGGCAGCTACACAGTCTGGAAGTTCGTTGGTTGTAGCAAAGTGTGAGGAACGATCGGGATTCACATGCTCCTAGTCACTGATTCCTTCACCGTGATCCGAACCGAGCTCAGTTCAATGCCCACCATGCTGAGTGCCATAGGTAAACTGTGTGAGTTGGCTGGTCGCTCGAGAAAAATGCACCGATCGGCTATCCTGAGAAACTGTGCAATACCGGCGACACCATCGAAAAATCAACCGGGGAGTTAGTCGGTCAACAAGGTATTGGGCCCTACGCTCTTTACGCCCGATAAGCTTAACTAAACAGAACGCGAAATCAACACGATGAAGATCATCCACTATCCGAGACCAGAGCACGCCTGGGGTCCATGACCGGACTGTATTCGACGGTCAGAACCGAGCTCGACGACGCTGGGAGGCTGGTTTAACGGTTTAATAACTTCCATGCATTTTCCTTTCTCTTTTTTCTTTTTTTTTTCTCTTTCTTTCCACTACCTTGAGTTGCACACCACCGCCGTTAAACACCAATAGATTTACATGCAGCCCTTAATTCTTGGCCCTACTTCCATTATTCATTTTCTGCTACTATCCCCTACTATCCCCACCTTTAACCTGGGTTGTCTTGAACAACCCAGGGAGAAATATCCAAGTCGGATATAAAGGAAATAGGATTGAAAGTGAAATTTATAGAGCGCAACACACAGTGATGTTGAAACTGAAGTTGAATTGTAACACAAACAATCTGTAACGGGACAAACAACCCTAATCTGGGCGGCACTTCTCAATTTGAGAACTTTCCTAAATCCACTAAAAGCTCAATATTTAAAGTACACTAGTTGGAACCTGAGATTACACAATAGAATGATCTTTCCTACCGAACTATTGAAACCTAAACACATGTACTATTTTCTAGGGGAATTTAGTATCCTATTCTCAAAGACTCTCGTACCTCACAAGTTAGATCTTGAAAGCTTGAGATCTACAATAAAGGACAACCCCTATTTATAGTAACTACTCGTAACAGATTCGTGAATAACAAACTATTCCTAATTAAAATAGAACTAGAAAATCTTCAATAACAAATCTCCTTAGAACTAGTATTCTTCAATAACTATTCCTCTTAGGACTGGTATTCCTTTATAGAACTGGAATTCTTTTTGCACATAACTTTGACAAAATAGTTTGAGTCAACAGAAAGTGGCGGGGTAGCTCTTCCGGCGAGTAACGCGGCGATAGATGGCGGGGACCATCTGTCTCAGGTCCTCCGTAACTCTGTTACCTGTTGCTGCTTGTGTCCATGGTGGAAAGGCGGGGAACGAAGAGGGTGATGTTGGCCCAAGGACACCTGGTGGATGGTTGACGGCATGCATGGCATTTCTTCCCATTGTTGAGAGCTGCTGACTGGATGTTGAACTCCATGGCGATGGCGAGTTTCTGATGGTGGAGATGATTTCACGGTGATGAGGTGGTGAGATCTCAGCAAATGAAGGATTAATAGCCTCCGGTCTTCCTCGTATCTCTTGACTTAAAATGGACATAGAAAATAAACAATGAAGCTGAATGACATAGTGGTTGGGGTACTAACCTTGTAGCTTAAGTGCCTGGGTTCAATTCGAAACTTTATATGCCTAGAATTCTTGCTGATTTCCAGATTTTTATCTTTTTCTCGTTTGGATGGTAAGAACGCAACTCTTTGTCACGTTCCCCACAGACGGCGGCGCCATTTGATAATACTAATTCGGGTGTCGGTTGTATATACTGCATATAATATGTAGGTGTATGAACCAAGAAGAAGCAATATATAGAACTAAGGGGCTTCTTTATTAATAATTGTTCTTGGGAGTTTTTTGGTAGAGGGAAGGGAGAGTAATGTATGTAGAGAGAGAGAGTGCCGAGAATGAAAATGATCCAAAAAGCCCTTAACTTGAAGGGCCAAATGCCCTTTTATAGGGGCAAGAGGTGGCGGGTTTGACCCGCCACCTTTAACCTCGATCCGTAGATCGGGATTGAACCACTTGACCCTGACCTGACTATAAGAGGAAACACGGATTCAGGGTATATAACCTATCAAATACACTAGATTAATTTTTAAGGACTAATGGGGAGATTGGTTCTCGTATGATCACACACACACACACACACACACACACACACACACACACACACACACACACACACACACACACACACACACACACACACACACACACACACACACACACACACACACACACACACACACACACACACACACACACACACACACACACATATATATATATATATATATATATATATATATATATATATATATATATATATATATATATATATATATAAGGACGGAGCTGTGAGCATATAGCCATTAATGTGCAATCCAACTATCAGCTTAGGCTTTTAGTTGAGATGGTAGCTGCCCCCCTCACCCTCCCCCATCCCATATATAATCTTTGTATGTATATTATACAGGATTTAGTATTAGTATAAAAAAAAAACTATTAATGTTAATAAGGAATGAGTTAAATTAGTTGGTAAGTCACATTTTTGGCAATAATAATGGTTAAGGGTTCGAATCATTGGCATTGATATAGTATTACAATTTTTTTTTTTTGACTCTTTTCCCTATTATAATTTTTTTGACTCCTTCCCATATTACAATTTTTTTGACTCCTTCCCCTAGCTTCAATGCATTCACGTTTTTAATAGTTTTTTTAATATTTAACACACACACACACACAATATTCTTTTATATTAATAATGATATGTGTAATTTATAATGTGTTTTCTATTCAAATTATTTTATCAAATTAATTATGTTTCATATTTTGTTATGAATATTTTTATAAAGTTTCGATGTGTTTTATTTTTCGCCCATATCCAACAATATTTACAACTATATTTCTTAGGTAATTTAAAAAAAAAATTATCTCTTTTGTTTTAATGTTTCGCCTTTACTGGAAAAAATTTTCTGAGTCCGTCCCTACTTCTTCGCCCCCTTCAACCGAATTTATGGCTCTGTCCATATATATATATATATATATATATATATATATATATATATATATATATATATATATATATATATATATATATATATATATATACTAGTTTTTTACGCGCATTGCGCGATTGGGATAATGCCCAATGTTTTTTTTAAATAAGTACTCTAAAGTATATTAAAGCAGGATTATATTGAAATTGTTCATGCATAGATAATTGAAGGTTGAATTTGCGTATTTAAATAGGTAATTCTTCTCCCAAAGGTTGAGTCTCCAACCCCAAGGGCCCCCCACACTCCGACCCGACAGAGCATTGTGGGAGGTTGTAAATGCTGATACGCACAAGGAATCTGCCCACTTTGGACATAATTCCCACACTGCCGCCGCCGAGGTTCAAAACCATTGAGCTAAGCCGGTGCGGGTTAAATAGGTAATTCTAAGTTTACAAATGCAAGATAATATAGTCAAGATTGATTATAATTGTCAATAAAATTATTGTATAGGTATGGTTGAAACCAAATACGGGACATAAGGGAGAACAAATAAAAATTAGGGCATAAAATATTAAATATATACTAATATTGTTTGAGGAGATTCCGACATTAGGATTTGTGGTTAAGTTCTATTAAGACTTTAAATATTAGAATTAGATTAATGGTGTAGTTATAATTCTATATTAGACTTTAATATTAGAATTAGACTAACGGTGAATTAACGGAAAAATTAAATGGATAATCATATAATTAAGGATAAATTAGAAAATCTTAAAAGGAAAAAGTTAAAACCTGAACAATATGAACCATTCATTTGATTTAATAATTTGGCGGTCATTTTTTCTACCCAATGTTAATAATTAAATAAATTCGCTGGTCAAATCCGCTAGTATAATCCGCTAACGCTAACCCCTAACTGCTGATTGTCAAACAAGGACATTGCGAGGTAGTTCTCACTTCAATTTGTTGTGTGATTTGAATACTCTCTTTGTCACAAAATCTCTCAATTAGTTAATATGGTTGGCTTTATTAATTATATTTTTTTAATTTTTTCATGGTATTAATAAAATACTTGGTAAATAAATATATAGCATTATTTTGTATTATAACTTTGATATTTAATTAGAAAAATAGTGCACAAAAAAAGATAATAGATAATGTAGTGAATATAATCAATTGATGAATTTGAATGTAAAAATTTTTACATTTGAGAAAAATAAAGACAATATAACTAATGAAAATATTTCTTTTAATTAATTTATTGATAATTAATAATTTTTTTTCACTGAATAAAGACATTGTAAGGATAATGTAGCGAATATAATCAATTAATAAATTTGAATATAAAAAATTTTTATATTGAAGAAAAATAAAGACAATATAACTAATAAAATTATTTTTTTAGTTAATTTATTGATAATGAATAATTTTTTTTTTTGAATAAAGGCATTGTGGACACATAATTATAAATTAAAGAAATGCATATGTATTATTTTTTATTGTAACTATTAAATTATTATTTATATAATTTAATAAGAGTAAAATAGAGTACTAATTATGCCAACTTTGATTGGGGTGAGATTCGAACCTAAGACCTTTTTCTATTGAAATCAATGAGTAAGTTAACGGTGAACTAACGATAATTCTTAAAATTTTAACGGAATTAGTAACGGTGTGTGGGTATTTTAGGAAATTTTAGTGTAAAATTTAAATCTGATCAATCTTTCAATCAATCTGAGCCATTCATTTGATTAAAATCTGTGACCGCCATTTTTTCACCCATTACAGGCCTAACTCTCTTGGGCTCTTATTAGTATAGTAGATATATATATATATATATATCTACTATATATATATATATATATATATATATATATATATATATATATATATATAGGGACGCACTCTGGTGCGAATAAGTGCCCAGGAAGGAAATGCGAACGAATCAGCGCGCGACACGTGTCCAGATCTAATAACTTAAAAAAAAAACGCGGTGGCATTTTCGTAAATAATTGAACATCGAAGTGCAAGTAAAATCTCTTATAAGTGCACCTATTTTCACCTAAAAGTGCAGGTAATTTTGCCTTGTTAGCATTCACTTTCCGCAACCATTCATGCACCTGGGTGTGCTTATAACTATCTGTGCAACTATTTATAACTATAAGTGCAACTACTTATAACTATAGGTGCAACTACTTTCACCTATAAGTGCATGTAATTTTGCCTTGTTAACATTCATTGATCTGAGTTCAGCGGGTAGTAATACTCCTGAAAATCACTCGCAAACATTCGTACACCTAAATGCAACTACTTATACCTATGTGTGCAACTACTTAGAACTATAGGTGCAACTACTTAGAACTATAAGTGCAACTAAGTAGCTCAGTATAAATTTTTACTTGCACCTATAATACATTTTACATGCACTTGTAATACATTTTACTTGCACTTCGATGTTCAATTATTTACGAAAATGCCACCGCGTTTTTTTAAAAAATCAGTGTTTCTCATCCATTAGATCTGGACACGTGGACGAACAGAATCCATGCCTATTTCGCGCTTGGGCGAGCCGTTCGCACCCGAGTGCAAGTCTATATATATATATATATATATATATATATATATATATGTGTGTGTGTGTGTGTGTGTGTGTGTGTGTGTGTGTGTGTGTGTGTGTGTGTGTGTGTGTGTGTGTGTGTGTGTGTGTGTGTGTGTGTGTGTGTGTGTGTGTGTGTGTGTGTGTGTGTGTGTGTGTGTGTGTGTGTGTATTCAAATGAGGACAAGTATATTATAGAGGACTGTGAGGACAAATGTAGTGTGTGTCATTAGTCGGTATGTTGTGTGCATGACCGAATGTAGTTGTGTGCCACAGTTTGTATCTCGCGTGCTAGATTTGTTAATTTATAGAGCCTGGGTTCGAAACCTGATGTTTACATTTATTCTTGTGTGCCATTATGTATTAAGTTGTGTTCCTGATATTAATTTGTTGTGTGCCCATTATTTGTCCTCACAATCCTCTATATATTGTTGTCCTCATTTGAACTCAACCCTATATATATATATATATATATATATATATATATATAAAAGATAACTTCTATACCAAACAAATTTATATTATATAACTCAATTTTAACCAAACACATGAATCTAATATTCTTACTAATCTAACAATTCCTAAAGTAATCTAATATTTTGTAACCAAATGACCCCTAAATATTGTACAGTTGATATCATGATCTCTTCATGATATCTTTTATCCTTTTTTCAACCTTGTATTTCTCCAATTTTCTATTTCTTTAATAGAACAAAAATATTATTGCAAGGGATTAAAGTGTGGATATGATCTAATGTTCATCCATATCTTTCTCCATTTCTCCAAATTTGGAGATTTAGTTAAACGAATTCTACAAATTCTAGAAAAATGGAAAACAATTCTCTATTTTTCAATTTGGAAGAATAATTTTAGTATAGAAACAATCAATTTACAATTTTTTCTATCTTTCTAGAAAAATGGCTTGATGGGCCTCGATCATGAGGCCCAAT